CCCCTTTCCAGCTGAAAAGGAGCTGAGTTCAGGGATCCAGGTTCTAGAGAACTGATTGGACTGTACGTTATTCATACAAGTCTCCAAGATCATATTTTTCTCCACCAAACTTTTCACAAATACGGTGTACTGATGAGTTCTCAGTTGTCCCAAGGTTTTGCAGTGCTGTGGTACATGTGGAAATTGGAGCTTGTGTTGATGGTTAAACAAGGAATCATACGCTTTAACATTCACCTCTCCTGGGGGCCAGGACTCATCTCTTAGCTTAGTTTAGAAACCCGGAGAAGGCACAAGGAGTGAACAGAGATCTACAGTTTCTAATCTAAGAAAGTTCTATAGAAAGTTCAATGAACTTATGAATGCCACCTATTATAAATTATTTTCATTCATTCATTCACTCAGCACATAGTTACTGAATGCCTACTATGTGCTGGGCTCTCTATTCTATGCATTGAAAATAGAGCAATGAACAAAGCAACAAAATTCTCTGCTGCCCTGGAAGGGGAAGAGGAAAGATAAATGACAAGTAAGAAACTCAAGGGGCGTGCCTGGCAGCTTTGAGTAACAGCAAGACCAGTGTGGGCAGGAGCAGAGTCAAGACTGATAGCCGATGATGTAGTGCAGAATCAGTGGCATGGGGGTGGAGGAGGGGGAAGATCCCATAGGGCCCTACAAACATAAGGACTTTTTTTTTTCTTTTTTTTTTTTTTTTTGGTGCTGGGGATTGAACCCAGGGCCTTGTGCACCCGAGGCAAGCACTCTACCAAATGAGCTATATCCCCAGCCCCAAACATAAGGATTCTAACTTTTACTCTGGAAACTCTGAGAAGCCATGGTGATACATTCCGACTGATGTTTTCATAGATCCCCTTGGCTTCTGCCTTGAGGATAGACTGTAGGGTGGTGAGGGCAGATGCACAGAGACCAGTTAGCCAACTACTGAGTCAAGGTGAGATGGCACGTGATGGACCAGCACTGGCATGATGGCTTTGGGGTACAATGAAGCTGGGATCCTGTAAGGTTGACTGCTTAGTCAGCTTATCCACTCTGGGTAAAATAACTGAAATCCATTAACTAGCTCTGCAGATGTACAAAGAAATCTCATCACCTTAGACAAATCTAGATACCACAATACAAGACGATGTACTGGCTAGTATTTGTTCAGTGGTGTGCTGGATGCCCACTCCCATGTCCAACTCAGGTGGGAAGTGGGGACATCAAAGAAAGGCTAGATACCACCAGAGAGCTGCTTGGAGCAGTTGCTTGTGTCAAGCAATGACAAATAGGAGCGCCTGCTGAAAAGGGAAGTGGAACCAGTGCCCAGAGTTTTATCTGCTTTGTCCATAAAAGGAGATCAGACACTGCCCAGAAGCTTGCTCTGGGGCTTGAGTACACAGTCCACCATGCATGGATTTATGTCCTCTCACCAATTGTCAGCACCAGTTCTTCATGCAAGAAAATTTTTGTTTATTTAAATTTCTGAAATTCCAAAATCTGCTCTGGTTAACTGCTCATTTTATTTATTTTTTTAAACAACATCCTATTTTGACACTGTTAGGCCTTTCAGAAAGCAATTCCAAGTCCCTGGCATTGTAGGCCAGTCAATGAAGGGAGTAGTCTCTGATCTTGACTTTGTCCATTTTCTTGTCATGAAGCATATGTCTTACATCTAATTGAGATTGAACTTTACCTAACATATCTTTGAGGCTAATAGTAACAGCAGAAATTTGGTAGGTTGGCAAATAGGGCAACACTGGTGCTGCCAGGATTGCCTTCTCCCAAGCTTCTCAATCACACACACCCTTTTCCACTGACCATGGACTTGCTTCAATGACCCTTGTGTACCTAGGGCTCCAGAAAGTCACCATCAGTCAATGAGAGTAAGTGCACCCCGTGAACTTCTTTATCCTCTGAGGGTTCTATCCAGTGTAATCTTAATGTTTGCTTTTACTGATGCCAATTCTGGAAATAGGCCCTCTGATGAAGAACTCTTGCTTCATTATGTAAATTTTCAAATAAAAATGGGTCATGGCAATAATTAAAGTTTGGATTCCTCATTAATATGAATATTTAAATACCTAGCTAGTAGATTTAATGAGTAATTTTATTAAGGTCTCTTCTACATTAACCAAAATTGTTTGTTTGTTTCTCTGTTTTTCTGGTGTGCTGGGGACCAAACCCAGGACCTCAGGCATGTTAGGTTACCAAAGACTTTTAATTTTAGATTTATATATTGTTCCCTTAACATTTTATACCTCAAGTGGCCTCTATTTTCTTGCAACCTCTGGGCTTCCCACTTGATTTAACGGCATCAATGGTTCACAATTTTCAAGAGCTCTGTAGCCATCTTAAAGCTGATATTAATGTTGATGGCCTTTGGCAATGAATAATTAATTATGCTGCAAATGACTAAATCAGGAATGACTCCATAGAGGAAGCCCTAAAAGAAGGGTGCATCACAGGATTTAAAAGGCATTTGAGCTGTACAGTTTTTCCAGTGCAGCCACTATGAGTGAGTTCTTCCCATCAGGGGTTTTCACTCACCAAGCCAATGGGTCAGTAACTGATTCAGCCAAGTGTCCCTTGTAGGGAATGTTTCACATCCCTCATGCTTCTGGTCACAATCAGGAGAAGCAGAATCACAGAAGGGTTTAGCCCTTTTCCCTACTTAGCTTAAAGATGGACCAAGCAGACATCTCCCTGGGCCCAGGGGTCTCCAAGGCCCCATGGCTCCACCACTCTGCCAGGGTGGTGTAAAAGCTCTGCTGGGACTTGCAGGTCTATGCATCACAAGGAAGGGGCCACTTCTCTTTGGAGCAATGGCACTTGCAGGCAGGAGTCCAGTGGTTAGTGTGGCACTCTCCATTCTGTGCTATAACAGTGTGGACCTCCACTCCCTGTTTGACAGTCTTCGTCTTGCCCTCCCAGGTGTCACCATCAACTCCAAAGTCCTTTAACTATTTCTTCCAGAGCTGCTAGAAACCTAAGGGCAAATGCATAGGCTAGCTCCCACTTTTTAGGATAAGACTGTTCCAAAGGAAGGGTGGGGAGTAAAAAATCTTCATTGTGCCTTATAAAGAAGATTGTTTCTAGGAAGCGAAAAGTATTAAAAATCCCTCATTATTCTTAGAGCACAAACTGTCCCTGGGAACTGAAAAAGTGATGCAGAAATTGCAAAGGTCCACCACTATCACCCCCCACCTCCGTCACCCAGCACCCCCTCACCTCTGCCCTGATCCCCTTTCTGTTATGTAATAGATTTACCATTGTCTACCGGGTAGGCATGTAAAGCAGAGTGTTAGGCCCCTGAAGTGGATGACCTGTGTGCCTGCCTGTCTCAACAGCTTAGCACTCTAAAAGTAATTATGTTCAGCAGGCCACCACAGAGAGTTGTACAATGGAGCTGAGCTAAAAACATGGAAAAAAAATATGGTATGATCCAAGGGATAACAATAAGGCTTAACTGGTTTACCTGGTTTTATAACTTTAAACAATTTCCATAATCTAGTCAACATTCTACTCACTGAAGTATTCATGACTGTATACATTCCTTTCCCCTTCTAAAAAATGATTTGAAACTAAGTACACAAATAACTGTACTGTAACAAAGAATGAACTCAGCACTACAGGACAGCTACACTCAAATTCCCAGCCCCTTCCCTAAACTCGACTTCCAGCTACTCTAGTTTTTTTTTTTTTTTTTCCTTTTTAAAGGAAAGATGCCACCTGGGTTTCTCTGATTGCCTTCCTTCCGCACACCTCTTGATTTTCTTCCTGCGTGCCTCCTCCCCACTGGTTTCTGCAGAGAGTGTTATATCTCTCCTCTTCTCTTGGAAGTGAAATTGTCCCTATTTACCCGGTGGAGTAGGAGTTTGGGAGGTTTGCTTCTTTCTTACGCACTATCAATCCCTAATCCTAGGTAGTTGGCTTTCTCAGTCTTTACATCTCTTCTGTGTCTCTTGTTACACGCCACAACGTCAAAGCTCAGCTGTGGCAGACACGCCAAGGTGTGTGTGTGTGTGTGTGTGTGTGTGTGTGTGTGTGTGTGTGTGTGTGTGTACACATTCGCGCGAGCATGTGCGCTTGGCGCTCAGGGAGAGAAAAAGTGCCCAATCCAGGCTCTGCGTCACACCCGCAATCGGTCAGAAATGGGGTTCATTGATGTTTAATCCGGGGAGAGCATTTCAGTCTCCGCTGTTTCCCTGAGTTCCTGATTTTTCCTCTTGCCACCAGCGCCCCATCGGGCATCCGTGCCTGGGTTTACTCCTCCCATCACCCAACCCTAGTGCAGGCAGAAGGGGTGATGTGGGGGAGAGCCAGGTGGTTAGGTCGCCTCCCGGTGTTCTGCGCAGTTTTCCCCAAGTCCATTTTGGAGGGAGAAGGCGAGGGGGCAAATAAGGCGAGGCTCCTGGGGGAGAGCGGAAAGCGGGCGGGCAAGTGCCACCTGATGAGAGCCTCTCGGGCCGAACTAGCGACGGGGACAGTGCCACCTTCTATAAATAGGTTCCTGAGGACAGAGTGTGCGACCGCACATCCAGCCGCGAGGGCTTGAATCACGCGCCGGGCCCGGGTCCTCGGATTCCCAGGAGTGCGCTGGGCCAGGATCCTTCGCTGGGACAGGATGGGGCGGCGGCTAGAGCACCCTTCCCGCGCCCGGAGCCCCCGGGACTGTGCTGAGGATGGGCCGCTGGGGAGAGCGCGGGAGGGGGTGAAGGCCGCGGCGGACCCGCACTGCAGCAGCTGTTGCTCGCCTGTGACTCGTCCGTCCCGGCCGTGCGGCGCGGGCAGAGTCACACGGCGCAAAGGGGAAGGGAGGGGGGGTGCGCCGCGTCCCCTTCTCGGCTCCCAGGGGACCGAGTAGGGAGATCCCGTCTTCTGCCCTCCCCTCGCCTCCCCCGCGCTCGCCCAGCCCGGGAGGAGGAAACGCGAGCCGCGCGCAGACACCCCCTCCTCCTCCTCCTCCTCCTCCTCCTCGGCTGTGGCTGCTGCTGCTGCTGCTGCTGCTGCTGCTGCTGCCGCCGCCGCCGCCGTCCGCTCTACGGTGCCTGTTGCTGCAACCGCCACAGGACCGGCAGTGTCCTCAGCCTGGAGAAGAGGCGCCAGATCTGCGGAGCTGTACCCTCCCAGCACCCGGCGGCGGCGGGAAGAGCGCAGCCGGCTGGGGACGATGGATGCCCCGCCCGCTCAGGCCGTCCCCACCGTGCCCCCGAGCACCTGCGTGCCGCGGCCCGGCCCTGGGCTCTGAGCGCGCAGCGGCACAGGTAGGCGCCTTCTGGGGCTTAGCCCGTGCCACCCGCTGACCCTTCCCGGTGGTCCCGGCTGCTCCCAATTCTCGGCGCGCCCCTGCGCTCCCTGGCCGCGGAGAAGGCGCAATCCTGCAGCTCAGGGGCGTTCCTGCTGTCCTCGCCGCGCGGGGTCTCTGGGGGCGGCAAGGTCGGGGGTGGAGTTCACTGCCACCGTCTGGTCCCCTACTTGGACGAAAGCGAAACCTTGACGTTCCTAGCGACCCAGGAGCTTCGGCCGACTTCTACCCTGCCCCCTCCTCCCGCTCATTAGTCTTCTCACCTCTCTCCTCCTCCCTCCCGCCAAATATCGTGTTTGCAAAGCGACCACATTGGAAGGACGGTGATCAGAGTGACCCCATGCCACCCTTTGATAAAAGTTTAGTAACTTTGGCTGCTGCACCAGTGCGAGCAACATTTCTTTCTATGGGCACATCCTGTACCAGTCATTTTGAAACCCTGCTTAATTGTTTCTAGCAGCTTCCTGGTCGCTGTGTGATTATGAGACCCTCTCAAATGTCGCCACACATTGTTTTTTTCTTTTTTTTAATGAAGTGTCATTTTGTTTGAAGTCCAGCTAGTGATGGCTTTCTCCGTTGTGATTCTGTTTTAAATAGCTTGTTCTCCGGAAGTTGCTTAAAAAGGAAAAGAAATTGAAAGTGATGATTGTTTCTTCCATCCAACAATTTAGTTTTGGAGTACCCTATATTACAGGGTAGATGTTTACTTCATAGATCTCTCATCTTTCATTCTAGATGCTTGGATGATTTCGTAAATTGATAAAATCAGACTTTGAAGGAGCTTTAAAAATGACCTGGTTTAAATGGGTCACACCCAAGTAACTCAACTATCTCTGCAAGTCCAAACTTCCCAACTTTTTGCATTGGACAGGCTGAACTAAACATACAGGCCCTGATAAAAGAGACCTTGTTTAGAAGAGCAGAAATTCATTCTCTTTCCCAGGCGTGAGATGGGATTGGGAGCTGTTGCCTGCCCCTGTCTTTGTTGTGTTTTGGGAGTCTGCTCTGTGTGGGAGGGGTGGGGGTGGAGGAATGGAAGGAGAGATGTTCTGAGGCTGAGTGGGGAATGCACCTTGCAAAACACTCTTTGCTTGTGTGACTTTTCAGGTTCTGTGACTGTCTGAGGTTTGGGATTTCCATTGTGAGTTTTGTACCTTTTATAGCGTTCAGACTGCTCCTGTTGGTTAGGAGGGAGATGTGCCTCATTATCAGCTCCTTTCTGGGAGCCCTGAGGATGGATGGTTTGTAAACAGGTGCTTGTAAACCATTTGAAATTGAATATGAGTGCAGTCTCCAATATGCCTGTTTCTTCTTGTTGTTTTTTCAAAACAAGTTATAGGGAAATAAGATCATAACAAGTGCTTTCCAGATTTATCTATAAGTACCTATCAATGTAACATGAGCTGCTGGACAGTAGGCAGAGCTGTGAGTTAAAAGGTACCCTATAAAATGTTGAATACAGGTGAAGTATTCTGATACTGTTGAGTACAGAGACATGAAAGGGGCCATTAGTGTTTCTGAGGAAGAAATAAAATCAGGTGGTAATTAATATAAATATATTTACATGGATTTGCATACCAGGAGAAGAGAGAAAATTTAGTTATGAATTATTAGCATTAAAGGAAAGTTTTGCACATGGGCCTCCTGCCATAGTCTACCATTATCTGTCCTGCTGAGAGCTCTGGGATTTCCCTTTTCACCGTGATAGCATTTCTGATTGGGTGGTTGTCATACCAGTGTTAACTTTTTATCTCATAAGACAGTTTGTCATAGTATGAGTGGGTATAAGGAGAAGATGGCCAACTGTGAAGAATTGGGGCTTGCCCCTTCTTCCTCAATATCCAGCCATTGATAATTGCTAGGAGACAGCCCAGACCAGAAAGGCTGCTGTCACAATCACTCGTGCCCTGTGCAGAGCCAGCTGTGGTAGTTACTTCTTTCTGGCCCAGACAGATCTTCTAGGATGTTCTAGGGGGAGCATTTCTCTGCAGGTTCCCAATCTCCATGCTTTCCAGATTCTCCCAGAAAACCTAAAATATATATGTATCTATTTGGGGGACTCAATGTGAATGCCTGGGCACACTTTGCTCTCCCCTTTCTGTAGTCCACTGTGCTACCTTTTCAAGGTTAATGGCTACAGTAGTCCCAATACTTGATCTTCTCCCCATCCCTTTTCTTTCCCTGGTTATTGAAACTTCAAGAAGTAGAATCTGTGCACTAAAATGACAGCAGGCAGGGAGCACTGGGATCCGTGTGGCAGCACTGATGCCAGAGAATTTTGGTCTTCAGTCAGAACTGTTACCTTGCAGTTTCCTGTGCTTTTTCTCCTTGTCTCTTCCTTTTCAACCCTGAATTCTAATAAAAATATTTCTTAACAAAATTCTTCACAAAAGGCATGGAAGTTTCCATTTTCAAGGTTTTTTGACATTTTCAAACCAAAAATTCTGTTTGATAGGTTCTTAGATTTAAGGGTAATGCATCCCTTTTCAGGTTTCAAATGTTTAGAAAAAAGATTTGTCATGTTTGGGCCATATTCTGATTTCAGCAGAACTGAAAAAATCTAGGAAATACGTTTTAGTACTAAAAAAGAGCCTTTTTAATTTTTGAAGGTGTCTGTTTCCTTTGCGATGATAACAACCATTTTTTTTTAATCTCAGAAAGAAAATGCATCTATTTAACTTTAGCAAAACATTATACATGATCAGTGAACCTAAACTTCTGAAGTAGGTAAGCACTTATGGTTATGTTGTCAGAATTAGTGAACTTATATATAGGTAAAGTGCTCAGAACAGCACCTGGTTCATAGTCAGCATTCAACTTACTTATTGCTATTACTATATTTATTCGTTTGTTTTCATATTTTTAGAGTATAACTTCAATATTAAGTTTGGATTACTGAGGCCAGGTGAAATCTAGATAGAACACCCAAGCTAATCCATTAGAAAGATATTTGAGAGTTATTCCTTTCTGATATATTGTTATATAGAAAGAAATTTGGGCATAAGACAGATTTGGATTCCAGTCCTGCCTTCATCATTTATTAATAAGGGTCTATTCTGTAATGGGGACGATGAAACATACTTCTCAGAGTTGTGAGAGTCAACAAGTTTGTATATGTAAAATGCCCAAGAAGAGGTCCTTGGTTCATAGGTATTGCTCCAGTGAGTAGTTAAAAGCAAGCATGGATACTGGACTCAAGGTTCCTTGGCCCAAATCCTGATTCTGTCACTTTCTGCTGGTATGACCTTAGGCAGGTTTGTTTCCTTTCCTGTGCTGTCAACTCCCTTCTCTCTCCTCTCTAAGTTGGAAGTTATAAAGATAATAGTTGTTCATAACAGTCCTTATTTTTCATGGTTGTTTTGAGAATTAAATCAGTTAGTAGATACATGGTGCCATTGTTATGTGTTAACTGTTATTATTACTACTTTCCTTAAAGCAGCTAAGCAGGAGGGAGGGTTATACATAATCTCTAAAGGCCAATGGGGACCATGCCCAACCTCTATCCCTTTGTCCTATGCAATAAAGTACAAGAGAACACAAGAAGTGGCGTTGGTGGCCTAAAGAATTAGGCTTGAATTGGCTCGGATTTATTTAAGAAGGAAGTCTTTCAAAAACAACATTATTTTACATGTCAAATTAGAGTGTACCCTATATTGAACCATCCATGATGACGGTAGGGTTAGAACTACTGGTTTTGGGACCTCTGTGTGCTGGTGAATAGCTTACTAGGTAGCTCTGAAGGATCATTGCAACCTGGGCTATTGGTGGGTGAGTGTACCCCCTGATCAGGGTGGATTCTATGGAGGAAGTGGACCGTTGGTGTACCCACACCAGTGGCCCTATTGTGTGGGAGTAGACTACTTCAAGTTTCAGTATTATTTTGCTCCGGTACATGCCCATTCTGGATAGAGAACAGAAAAATTAGACCGTTGAATAGCCACTGGGCACTTCCTATTTCTCCTGGGCTTCGCAACAGTTACTCAGTATTGGCTGGTTCCTAACCTGGCTGGGAGCAATAGGCTCTCAGCACTCTTCCCTCCATCTTACTCTGAGTCATTTGTGTTGCTATAATAAAATTCCCCAGGCTGAATACTTTATAAAGAAAAGGGGTTTATTTGGTTTACCATTCTGCTGCCTGAAATGTCCAAACACTGGCATTTGGTAAGAACCTCCTGTCTGTGTCCCTATATCACAAGCTAGGTGATGCTGTAGCAGACAATATACCAGGGCAGGTGAATGTCTGGAAGTGAGAGATTACCTGTTGAGAGAGGAAGAAAGATGGTGGGGAGGGATCAGGGTCCTTTATAACAACCCAGACTTGTGGGAGCTAATCCACTTCTGCAGACATAGCCTGCCCTGTGATATCAGCATTGATTCCTCCAGGAGGGTGGTTATGACCCAAACACCTCCCACTAGGCCCTGCCTCTAGAAGGTTCTACCACCTCCCACTACCACTGCACTGAGGACCAAGTTTCCAGGACATGAACCTTGGGGGACACACTTAAACCATACCCAAACCTTCCCACCAGCATTGCAAGCAGGTGAGGGCTGAAACTGCAGAGGCTGATACATTGTGGCCACTGGGAAGTCCCTCTCCTACTCTCTGTGGGGGCTGGAAAGAGAGGGGCTTCCCACTCAGCAGCTTACTAAAACCTATCCTTGTTTCTCTTGTTTCCTGATCAATAAATCCCATCCTTTCTTCACACATCTCTCCCACATTTTTGTTCCTGAAGGGAAGATGGAGCAGCTTTGTTTCCTCATACAATAGTGGAGACATTTTGTATTATGCATTATGAAAATCAGATTCACCAGATTTAGTGATAGAAGAAAACTTGGAGATGATCTTGTTTTATACTCTTATTGAGAATAAACTTGAGATCTGGAGAAGTAGCTCGCTTTTTCAACTTCACACTTGAAAGAGTTCTCCTGAGGAAATGGAGGTTTGCAGCGCTTGCATAG